GGATGGACAGATACAGAAATAAATGTGTGTATAGACGTGCGTGTGTGCATGTGTTAGTATACATATTGTATTTCCCAATTGGATCAGAGGGCTTATATACCTCAATATCAAAGAACACACCTGACACCTAGATCATATAATTTCTAAATACCATTCAATAAGAGGAACCAGGGAATTCAGAAAAAAAATGATTGTTTGCATGGCCTAGCCAGGGAAAATACAAGTTGAGCTCAGATCATCATGTGATGCCAGAAATTAAAGAAGTGTTCAAAAAATGATGGAGCACCCTAATGAAGAAATCTGATATCATTTGAGCAGCAAAATAAATACTGGCATTGGATTGCAAACCATCGAGTGAATAGAGACCCATCAGTCAATACTGACAGTAATAAACGTTTGAATACATAGCTAAGGGCCAAAAAAGGAACAGCTTTTCCTTGTGACAAAATTCTAGTTAATAAATATAGAAGAAATGGGAAATATGAAATCATCATTATGATATCACAGCAACATTGTTGCGGGCAAGAACCATCCATGGATGCCAAAATACGTGGGTAAAAAGTGGGATGAGAAACAGGACATTTGCATAACCTCAAAGTACCACCTTGAAGACACTTATTCACTTCAGAGCAGACACACCAGGCAAACATCATCTTAGACAGAGGATCAGAGTTAACATCACCAGTAGTAAGACATATCGACATCATACAGTCTCTGATGTGCACAGCGTCACGACTGTGGCATTTTTGTCAAAGTGCTAGAGCTTAATGTGATCTGAGAAAACATCAAACAGACTCAAATTTAAGGATGTTCTGCAAAATAACTGAACAGTATTCTTTTAAGAATTCAAGGCAAAGAAAGATTGTGAAATTGTCAGAGATAAAAGGCAATTAGCAAACATGGTCCCACAATACATTGTAGGATCCTGGATAGGCTCCGAGAATAGAAAGAGGGCATCAGTGGGAAAACTAGAGGATCTGTATGTTAATTATTAATATTTAGTCTATGCTAATTTCTTGGTTCAGTAATTGTATGATGACTATATAAGATATTAACATTAGCAGAAACTGACTGAAGGCTGCAGAAACACTGTGTACTATTTTTACAACAGTGTAAGTTTAAAGTGATCTTACAATAAAACATTTTAATCTTTGATGAATCTCCTTCCTGGTTATATGGGGGAAAAAGTTTGCCTCCTTAAATTCAAGTTCCTCATGGTCTTCAAGACCTTGATGATCTGATTGCGTACATGGACTGTGTAATAGTTCTCTGCTGCCACTGGCCAGCAGTGCATGCCCAGCTGCGATGGCACCATGTGCCCATGCCTTAGAAGAATGGACAGCTATTGGCACATCTGTATCTGCTTTTCTATATTTATGCTTCCTTTTTATTTTTTTATTTCCTTTTTGCCCTCTTTTATTTTTGTCCATTTCCCTTATACTCTCTTTTTTCATTTTTTTTCTCTGTCCCATCTAGTGGGAAATGGACGTTATTTTCCCAGTAGTCAGCTACTCCTACCACACCTGCCACCTATTATTTCATCGAATGGGCAAGTGCCACTACCCGATTTTTCACCTTTAGCTCAAGATAGAGAATGAACAACACCTGCTCACAACCTCCTACACTTGCTCTTCACAACCAGCAAGCAGAGATGTGCACCCACACTCCTACCAGTTACTCAGGGAGAGTTAAGTTCTAAGTGATGGCAAACTAGCTACTAGACCTGCAGAGGTATAGCAAAACTAAAAGTCGAGGTAAAATACAGCAACTCAATCTGTCGCAGAAGTAACAGATAACTTCAAAACAAACAAAGAGAGGACAATATAGTGCAAGCAAGTGATCAAAGAGCTAGAAACCTCTCCGGAAAAACAAACAAAGAGAGGACAATATAGTGCAAGCAAGTGATCAAAGTAAAGAGCTAGAAACCTCTCCGGAAAAAAAACCCAAAACAGGTAGTAGAACTGAGGAATTCAAAAGATTTAAGTGTAGGTACTTCTAAAAGTTCAAGGAAACTGCAAACAAAAGCAGAGAAAACACATAATACAATAGAATTATTCAGGAAAATAGAATGATTCAGGAAAACAAGAGCAAAATGACAAAAGTAAACACAATTAGAAACCATTCAAAAACAGCAATTAGCACCCACCTGAAGATCGCAGAGGGCGTGAACCCCCTCCTGCAGATGGAGGGGCTCCTGGCCAGTCTGTGTCAGAAGACAATGGCCCCAGCAGCCAGTTAGAGCGGAGACTTTCCTGAGGGGACAGCGGGGGACCTCACTCCCTCCCTCCTCATAGGTGGCTGCTGCTGTGGGGACATTGCCTGGAGTGGCTGCTGCTGGAGGGGCCCTCCTTTGAAGGACTAGCCAGCGCCTCTCCCACAACTCACATGTCCCCGAGGGTCCACATCCGACCCCAGACTCAGGGGCAGGGTGTCCCCTCAGAACCTAGAGGCCCGGATGGGAATGCAGGTGTGCTTAATAAAACTTTACAGCGAAAAAACAAAACTAAACTAAAAAAAACCAAGCAATCATAAATTCAGGTGATTCATGTTAAAATTTCAGAGATATAAGACATGGAAAGGAAAAGGGAGTAGAATCAAATCAGTAGAACAAATCAACTAACTAGAAGACAAACTACCTGATACCAATTTGTATGAGGAAACATTAGAAAAGAGAATGAAGGAAAATGAAGAAGCCCTAAGAATTATGTGGGGACACTATAAAGAGGAACATTTATGTGTGATCAGAACTCTAGAACCGGAGGAGGCAAAAACACCACAGAGAACATTATTAAAGATTTGCTAGCAGAAAACTTCCCTAATCTTTTGACTAAAAGATTCTCATCCAACAAACTTGGTGAACCCCATACAAGGTATATCCCCAAAGAAAGTCACCATGACCAATTATAATCAAACTTTCCAAAGACAAACTTAAAGAATAGCTCAGAAGAAACGAAATGTCACATACAAAGGGCAACCCACAAGACTAAACTCTAGTTCTCAGCAGAACCCATACTCAAGAAGGCAGCAAGATAACATACAAAGCCCTGAAAGGAAGAAAATTTCCAGCCAAGAATTCTATATCCAGCAAAGCTTTCCTTTGTAATGTGTTAGGCCTGGGTGACTAGAAAAACAAATCCCGAGAACTCATATGTGTGTAAGAAGGAGCTTTAAATTGCATATCAAGAAAACATCCCGTGCTTCTTCCAGGGGAAGGGGGTCGGGCACAACAGTCTGGGTTACTGACCAGCCCAGTCCCAAGGAAGGTGGGGCCTTGCCCTTAGGATGCTGCAGCAGAGTGAGGAGGGGTGTGGTGCACGTCAACTGGGGAGGGCGTAGGGCCACTCTCTCCCCTTTTTCTGTTGCCCCTTGAGGGGGGAGCCATTCTATGTCCCCACCTGGGGCCCTTCTCTGGTTTCCTATTTGGAGTTACTTGAGTTAAAATATATAGATATACTTTTTTTAACAAAAAAGAAAGAAAACATCCCAGCCCAGTTGCGATCAAGTTCTTAAGTCCATAAGTCCAATCCTGGTCCATAAACCCCGCTCCAGGCTCATGTAGCTACATGCAAAGATGCAGAATTCAGGAAGATCCCAGGCTGGTGGGTGCAGAGTGCTGTGGCTGAAACGGCTGTGTCTGCATCACAGGCCTCACACGTGTCTCCGAGTGGCTCTTCAACATGAAGGTGAAGGAAGAGAGAGAGAGGGAAAGTTCCCGGGAGCCTCCTCAGGAGAAGGCCACACCCACAAGGAGGCACCATCAGGCTGTGACCTGATTGACAGGCTAGACTCCACCCATATCTCCTTCCTAGTACCAGGCTGGCACCAAAAAAACCTAACTATCACAATATTGCCCTGTATAAATAGAAGAAACTTTAAAATAACATGGGAGCAAAAATGCATGGGATTAGCCACAGTATTTATTGGGTGGATTTTGAACTGTCCCTGTTACATAGCACAATTTCACATGTGAATGGGTGAAAAGAAATACTAAATGTTAACTATTTTATGACCTAATTATTGTTTGGTGATACCATGTGGTCCTCAGTCATGGAAGGTAGGTTGATATCAAGGGAAATAATTTAGAGATATTATGGATTTTGATAG